AAATATGGAAGACCGCATGTATGAACCCAGCTGGATAATCCCCTGGATACTAGTGTGTCCAACAACTTTTTTTTTATTCTAGCTGTTGTACACATTAAATCACCAGCTGTCACTTTGGTGAGAAATTATTATCGTTATTTTATCATTTCCATAGGTCAACGTGTCTAGCTCTTGACTGATTGATTAGTTCTATTCACCTCCCGTTAGGTAGGGAACGTATTTCTTATTCTCACAGTAAAAATGTTTTGTGAGCGACGTTTCGTTTGTGAACTGTGACGTGATCTTAGTGTTAAATGTGTTTTTCTGTGTAAAACTAGTCTTTAACGATATAACCTAGTCTTTAACGATACGTACAATTTGCTGTTCTTGTTTATGATGTTTAGTCTAAATCACAGTGGGATGGCTGACTAAAAATGTAGACTGCACGACCTTCTATCTGAGAACCAGCTGCGAGAACGATATTTACGCTTACGTCACCCCTGTATCTTATACGATAATTTTAGGTGAAAAATTTCTTACTATGTGTCAAGAGACCAAAACCGAAATTTAAAAAAAAGTAAAGGACCCTTTTTCCACGCCCTTAGGCGTATAGGGCATATAGGGCTAGACCTATATTTTTATAGACCAATTGGCACAAGGTGGGTGATGTGGTCAGCATCACGCCTGCCGCCTTTACTTTCCCGGGACTGCAGCCGGTACCCACTCAAGGCTGGGTCGACCTGGGAGCCAAGGTCATTTTTTAAATAAGTCCGGCTCCGCCAGGGAGCGAATCCACGACCTTCCGATCCGCGGCGAACGTCTAGCCGCTCGGCCACGGCGACTCCCAAAACCGAAATAGTAGTACAATAATTTTTTTTTAATAATAAACACAGACAAAGTACTGATTGGCACTTTAAGAAAAAAGTAGAAAGATAAAAGGACACATAGATAACATAAAAGTTGTAAGCCTTATTAAAGGACTGGGCATATAACTCCTCGCATATGGGAACAGGTGTACATGAAACAAGATACATGACCAGCTAGGCACACCTAAAAGAAAAATAGCTATTGATATGACAGCCTATAGAATCCTGTCCTCATCTTCACTGATGTCTGTCTCACGGGATCCACAGGATAAACTTAGCTTGGATGATGAAGCTTCAAATTTAAAATGACTCTGGTATGCTTTAGCTGTTCCAATTTCTTTCAATACACAATCAGGGAGCTGATATGTTGAACAGCATTTTCCTACTCTCATCAGCCTCATTTTTATTGTCAAGATAGCATGTAAAAGGTCAAGTTTCATCCTATTTCTTAGGTTTCATAGCACTGGAAAGTATCATGATAGACATGGCACATTCAAAGAGCATACAGAGTGGACTGTTTCCTGAGGCATCTTTCAATCGTCTTACTTCACTCCAAAACGCTTCAGTTTCTGTTTTGTTTGTCCAGTCAACCAAGTTTATTTTGGTTAACTGATATTCTGCTTCCGCCACACTATTATCACTACCCCTTAACAATTTCGTAACTTTACAATATTTAGGTATGTTCTTTACTGGCTGAAGTATGTTACTCACAGAAAAGAATGAAATATTTTTCAATACATCTAGATTTTCAGGAAGTCACTGCTTCAGTTGCTTGAATAATGAGATAAGGAAACCTCGACAGCGCTTTCTTAAGTCGTTCTCTTCATTCTCTGTTAACAGTCCCGTTGCTTTTAAATCATCAGTTTTTGATTACATTTGATATCCAAGGTATGGCTTAGGAGCCAAATAGTTCTCTAGAGTGCAAGTGAGCAAATCAGCTTCAGAAGCTGGCAACATCTGTCTTTTACCAACTGAGTAAAATAGCAAAGAGAGATCATCAAGTAATTTAACTTTATCAACTATGTTTAGATGCGAACAACAGTTCGAGAGAAGGAATGCCACATTTTTTTCACCACTTTACATTTCATATAGTATTTCAGCTTTGCAGCACTTTTCTCTTTGTCTAGTTATTTCGAAGTGCGTCTTTAACTCCAACCAATGGATCACAATTCTTTCAACAGCTGGTTGAATTGATAACCAACTTGTTTTGCAAACTGACTGAATTCGGAATTTTCAGTGGTGCGAAACCATTATTTAAAGCTTTATATCAGTTATTGTAATCCTGTTGTCTGACAGATGATTTGGAAAACCAGTTATATGTTTCAGCAATAAAGTATTGCAAATTCCTCGGTAAACGTTCAAATGAAGAATGTGATAATGCTAGCTGCAATGAATGACACATACATTTTATAAGGATTTAAGATTTGATATCTTCTTTCGATTTGGCTTAAACGCCCTTGTTTAAACCAACCATCACCGAGGCATTATCATACCAACTATAGTCAAATTCTCCAAGTCTAATTGTTTGCTGATCAAAAGTTTTTTTTCTTCAGTTCCTGAACTATGCTTTCTGCATCATACTTTACCAATTGAACTAGTCCAAGATATGTAGAAACTACTTTGTCTGTATTGTTGCTGTAATATATAATATACACACCAAGCACTTTCAGTACAGAAATGTCATTCGATTCGTCTAATAATAAACTATATTTATTTGTAGAAATATTCTAGATCAAATCTTTTTCAATGTGAGAACATAAAATATTTTTTTATAACATATGTACAGTTGCTGCGATGGATTGTTACATCATCAATAACTTTACTGTCAGAAAAAGTGTTTTTGAACAAATCAATAAAATGGTCACAGTTCGAAATTGCACAATGACAACTTAAAGACATTGCGACCGATCCTTCAACTTTTGATGATTCATTATTAGGTGTGGTTCTGAACACAGATGTCAGCGGTGTAATGTATTTGTTTGTTTGTTTGCTGTTTGTTTTAGTATCCAGAAGCCATGAGTTGTTAACCATTAGGCTCGGTATTATGGATATCGCAACCTTTCGGCCTTGATTCCATTTTAAATACCGTAAATCTGGGAGAAAATGGGGCTTTTCTGCCTACCCCCGAAAATGAGCCGGGACCACAAGGAGTTCGTCACCCTTTCACCGCGCAATCCGGTTTAGCCAACGACGCTAGCGAGACGTGCATGTGAAATGTCTTTAAATGGAACTGCAGTTTTATGCTTTTTAGTCTCTGCATGACTCATTAAGTCTTGTATTTCACACTTGCAGTACCTATAACAAGCCTTAGTCGTATCTCCATGAACTGCCATCACCAAGTCTTTAATTATGTCGTCATGCAGCCACTCTTTCTGAAATTTGTGCTCATACTGCTTTACTTTTAGCATGTTGAACTGTTTTTCAAAGTAGAAGACACATATGGAGGTGATCAATTATAAAGAAAAATATTTTAAAAAGACATAAAAAAGAAACACAAAGTCAGCATCGCTGCTACAATTCACAACACAGTAAGGATACAGTTCAGCAAAGTTACTATGAATTACGCGCGCTCTTAATCGGTACCAGGGCTCCCAAATTGTTGAGCGTTGACCCCAGTGAGTTCAAAGTTTAAGTAATCACAGTTACCACAGTGTACGTTCCCAGACCAAAACAGAAAATGTGTAATAATTATTTGCTGCAGTAATGATTAAACTAACATTGTAAGAAAAAGAAAATCTGTAAAAAATATCTAAAAACAAAAAACAAAAAAACATCTAGAATTACATCTACAATCTGGACATCTACTATTTGGACGTCAAAAAACATCTAGATGCAAGGGGAAACATCTAAATCTGGATGTAAAACATCCAAAGTGGCAACAGTGCACGGTGTAAGTGCGGGCTGCAGTTGACAATTTAAGTTAAAAGTAGTGCTTTGTGCGCAAGAAAATGGGAACTGGGCAGCGGGGAGCAAGTTCGATGTTGATGAAAAAATATGGAAGATGGACTGAAATGAGAGATGGTCTGGAAACAACACGTTTGCAATAATCTTTTCGTGGCAAGAAATTGAAATTGAGGAAAAAAACTGATTTGCTTGAACTTGTCAAGAAAATACGGGCAGATGGGTTTTCTATGTCAGTGGAAATGTCACAGTTTAAGGCGCGTCAATTATCAAGCATCATTGGAATTTATCACAGTGAATTTAAACCCAGTTATATAATAAAGGTCCCTTTTCGATGCTTATAGGCGTATAGGGCATATAGGGCTAGACCTATTTTTTTATAAACCAATCTGCACAAGATAGGTTATGTGGTCAGCATCACACCGGCCGCCTTTACTTCCTGGAACTGCACCCGGTACCCACACAAGTCTGGGTCGACCTGGGAGTCAAGGTCCGGATCCGCCAGGGAGCAAACCCACGACCTTCCGATCAGCTAGCCGCTAGGCCACAGCGACTCCCAAACCCAGCTATGGCTAAGCCAAAATGAAAATCCTAAAACTGCAGAGTCGTGGCGACAGCACTAGCCATGCGGCCGTAAATCCCCAGGTTCGAAGACCACCCCCCCCCCTCCCCCACCAACCCCGCATACACCGCAAAAGTGGTAAAATAAAGGCGAATTCCAACCCTAGACCTTTGGGTCTGGCCGCTGTTTCCGTGGCTCTATGGTAAGTGAGTATCTATGCATAATTTCAGAATCTCTAAATAATCATGTCTGATTTGAGCTGCCTGAGATTCGTCAGCACACTGCTTTGCGTTGTTTCGATGACATAAATGACATGCTAACCAAAGTGCCTCGTGAAACCACAGAGAACTCTCACGTACTTGGGGTGGTTAGCAGTTATTTAAATAATATGCAAATGGCTTTTTTTGGATCGGGTAATGACATAGTCATTATATTTGCCTATCTGACTAACAGAAAATGATGTTGGTTCTACGCATTGTTCGTATGCGATTTTCCAAATTTTGACTCTTACAATTTCTGTGTGTGTGTGTGTATATATATATATATATATATATATATATATATATATATATATATATATATATACTCTTATGTTCTGATGTGCATTTGAAAAGTTTAACCATCTGTACCAACTGGTAGATCAATATGTGGTTTCATATATTTGAGAATTATACGTTCTTGTAGACTTGTGCATGTTTGTGACTACTGTTGTGAAAACAAAACTTAAATTATCAGAATTTGCTTTTTTTTTTTTTTTTTCAACAGTTGTCACAATGGCAGCAATGACCAGAATACCGTTTGCACGATCGTTTCGTGGAAAGGTTGTCATTTACTTGATTATCATTACGTGCCTAGCGATGCAGATTCCTCTCTTAATGTTATGGACAAAACCCATAGATTCGCCACATCGGATGTCTGTATTTCAGACATTCTCAGATACAAAAATCACAAAAGAAACAATCGTGGAGCTTTTGCACAACATTTCAAGACAAGTCAAAGTTCCCGGTGTGGATTGTGCAGCAATATTTAAAGGATCAAAAAACGAAATTGCTGCATCCAAGCATGTGATAGGAAATGTCAGTTCTCCACTTTCAGATTTATTTTACATAAATTTAACCCAAGATTGTGTGAACTTTCAGAAACAACGTGGGTATATAATGTCGTCATTGACGGATGAGGAAGACCAGTTTTCCATCGCTTATTCAATGATTGTCTATAAAGATACTGAGATGGTAGAGCGACTTTTACGAGCTATCTACCGACCACAGAACCTTTACTGCATCCATGTGGACCAGAAGGCTTCTAATTCCTCTTTCAATGCTATATCTGCAATTGCGAAATGTTTTCCTAACGTATTGATGGCCAGTAGGAGAAGCTCCGTATACTGGGGCACATTCACAGTGCTTGAACCAGAACTCACTTGTATGGAGGATCTGTGGAAGTATCCTAAATGGAAATATTTAATCAGTTTGACGGGACAAGAGTTTCCTCTGAGAACCAATCACGAGCTTGTCAAAATTCTTACTCTATATCGAGGAGCAGTCGACGTAGTTTCATCAGTCAGAGAGTAGGAATATGTGTATGTTTGTCCACATGTACAGCTGTCTACTACCTAGAAATCTGTCAAAATGAACTTATACCTGAAACATCCATACTGTCATATATCTAGATTAATTTTTACATACAAAATATATATATCAACAGTGGGAAGGGGACAAAGTTCTTTGAGCAGTTGATGAGAAAAGGAGCACTGGAAAATATCATGACGACTGGAAAGATCACTGGTAGAAGAGTCAGAGGGAGACCAAGAGAAATAATTGTGGAAGGCTTAAGACAGTGGCATGAAGGATATTATCAGCAGAAGTTATTCAGAACACCAAAGACTGAGATCTGTGGCGACGCATAAACGCCTACGCCAGCAGGTAAGGCTAGTGACGATATATAGTCTGGCTAAATGGACACAAAAAAATATAAATCACACGTGTCTGATACGGTTAATTTCACAATCATTGTCAGCGCAGATATAGAGATATTCTGGTTTCAAGACTCTACAACACGCACCATATACTATCTTTATATTAGGGGTCGTTTAAATTGTATTGTAAGACTACAATAATTTGTTATTCGTTTATCACATGCATAAGCTTTTTTTTTTTAAACATATGAAAGTAAAGCTTACGACCGTTTTTCTAAATAACCAACAAATTAGGGGGCGGGTGGGGGGGGGGGGGTGAAAATAGCTGAGCTAGTGTTATTAAAATTTGAAATATTCAAAAAATGAAAATTTTAAAATCATGTTTTAAGGTCTCCCAGTTAATAATTTTGGTCGTCACCCGCCCATAACCTTACCTAAATCCACCGACTACTCCTCTTTCACTCTCCGAAGGATTTGAATTTCATCATCTAGTGAAATTTTGTTAAATTTGATCTGGGCAGCCGTGTCCACCCAAACTAAAACGGGTAGTAGAAATTGTAATAAAAAGTAAATGCGGCCAGTGTAATATATACCATGTCTCCTATCGAGTATCACCACTTCTACCACCACCGCCGCTACAAAACAACAAATTAAAAAAAGTAAATAGTCTCTGTTTTACCGCCATCTAAGCTCGTAAACAGTGGGTCTTGAGCCTGAGAATTGAGGGCCTTATGGATAGTGCTGTCGCCACGAAATGTGCAGGTTTGGAGGTTAAATTCACCCCCCTCCCGACAGGAAACTAGCATCATCTTACTGGGGGCCAAACCCGGGTCTTCTGCATGAGAACCCGATGTTGTAGTCATCGGCCAACCAGAACAACTACTAGTATTCTTTTGCTCTGTACTAAAAATAATAGAGGGCTTTTTCAACGCACTGAAAGGCATTCCACGGGAAAATCACAGCTCACGGGGTTGCAACCAAGCACTAAACGCAGTAGAAATAAATAACGCAGGCAGCAAAACCGTAGACTACCGTCGTTATGTGGAAACTGCATTAGTAAAGCGCTTTCGGAAGTAAAAAATAACTTCGAAACTAAACATTCTGCCAGGCCTTTCCTCCATTTTGGCCTGGAGTCCTCTTCTATAAACCTGTATTTATGAAGCATTGATATACAAGTTAAAGTACCTAAAATTTATATAAAGGTATGACATGAATAAAACCACTTCATGGGAGAAAAATGATTTCCCTTTTCGATCCACTAGGTTTCTAAACAAAGTTCAAGAATGCGTTAAGTTACAATAGATAAGGCTTCCCGGCACTTGTTTAATGCATATTTACTGAAAAACGATACGTATGAAAGTAAGCGACAATTAGGTCAGTAAATCACTGAAAAGAAAGATTGTTCGTTATGGTCACGTTGTCCTATTACTTATTGATATTATCTTTGTTTCAGAGTATTGCGTTACAGATTCCGTGGCAGCAAAGACCCACCTCACGGATTACATATTGTAAAGGGATCGGTGCATATAGTTGTCAACAGATATGCAACTTGGGCCTTTAAGCCTGCACATACTGTCTGTGAGAGTCTGTTCTTGTATATGATTGTGTTTATATGTGTGAATATGTATTTTTATATGCACATATATAGTGATACGGGCCTCGTGTGCATTTAAGTATAATAACTTGGCATACTGCAGCGGCGGAGACAAAGATTAAGTCGACGGCGAGATAATAAAGTATTCATTGACCTCTCAAATGATGCCCTGAAATTACATAGAGTATTGATTAGACCATACAGAGACACACACACAGACATTCACAAAGACGCAAACACAGACACACACAAAGACGCACACACAGACACACACAAAGACGCACACACAGACACACACAAAGAACCACACACAGACAGGCTGGTAAGTTAAAGCTCCGAGACACATGCAAATAAATGAATACTATTCAGAGAAAAGGGCGGTCGAATGCACGGTCCGTAAATCAGCCTAAACTAGACCCATGTTAAAACACTGGGAATTAAAAGCTTTAGAGCCGTCGTGGCGTAGCATCTAGACGCTCGCCTGCGAATCGGAAGTTCGATGGTTTAGGAACTAAAGAAGCGTACTTTTGTTTAATGACTTAGGCGTCCAGGTCGTTCCAGCTTTAAATGAGTACCAGGAATAGTCCTGAGAAGTAAAGACGGCCGATTTTAGCAGGTAGGCAATTTTTTTCTGTAGTTTTATTCCGAGTGTATTCATGTTTGTAAATGTAACATTGATTAATCACGTTATGTGCTGTTGAAGTCTTTTTAGCCACAACGTTCACTTTGTGTTTGGGATAATGGAAAGCGTACTAGTTCAGCTGTTCATATGGTTTTATATAACTAGCAGAAGCATCCTATCTTGCAGAGAATTTGTGGATTTCGTTCTCCACCACAATACATCTAAAGATTTGCTTGCCTGGGTAAAGACGACTCAGGTTCCGGATGAAACGTTTTTTGGTATGCTCAATACAAATCCACAGTTAGGCATACAGGGGACCTATAAAGGTAGGTTTGTCCTGTTCTTTTCTTTCTTTCTTTCTTTCTTTCTTTCTTTCTTTCTTTCTTTCTTTCTTTCTTTCTTTCTTTCTTTCTTTCTTTCTTTCTTTCTTTCTTTCTTTCTTTCTTTCTTTCTTTCTTTTTTTCTTTCTTTCTTTTTCTTTCTTTCTTTCTTTCTTTCTTTCTTTTTCTTTCTTTCTTTCTTTTCTTTCTTTCTTTTCTTTCTTTCTTTTTCTTTCTTTCTTTCTTTCTTTCTTTCTTTCTTTCTTTTTCTTTCTTTCTTTCTTTCTTTCTTTTCTCTTTCTTTCTTTCTTTCTTTCTTTCTTTCTTTCTTTCTTTCTTTCTTTTTTTTCTTTCTTTTTCTTTCTTTCTTTCTTTCTTTCTTTCTTTCTTTTCTTTCTTTCTTTCTTTCTTTCTTTTCTTTCTTTCTTTCTTTTTTTCTTTCTTTCTTTCTTTCTTTCTTTCTTTCTCCCGTTCTGTGATGTTCCAACAAATCTTCTTCTTTTTCTTCTTCTTCTTCTTCTTCTTCTTCTTCTTCTTCTTCTTCTTCTTCTTCTTCTTCTTCTTCTTCTTCTTCTTCTTCTTCTTCTTCTTCTTCTTCTTCTTCTTCTTCTTCTTCTTCTTCTTCTTCTGTCTGTTTGTCGGTCAGTCGGTCAGTCGGTCGGTGTCTAATACCGCTCGTGTCGCGTGCCTGATTTAAGGATTTCTCCTTAAGAACCAACAGCACTCGGAAATAATAATGTTGAGGCGTTGGCTCGTATTGGTCTAAGGGAGATCCCGTGGCCAATATACGCCTAACTTAATTCAGGAGTAGGGCAACTAAAGCTTTAGCACTACAGGATATCTAATATTCCTATGCACACTTGGCTTGACACCCCCACTACTATAAAAAGCTAGCGCCCAGGTTATTATAGTATACTATCATAGCCATGTTAACACAGATTACACTGATTAATCACACAAACATAAACTTGACAGTTAGAATGGTGAAACAGGGACACCCAAGTCAGCCATGAAAATTTCTGAGAATGCACGTAATATTTTCAATGTGTACATATATATCAAGACAATCAAGATGGTTTCCAGTGAAAGGAGTTCATGACTTAACGTCACAGCAATGATGTTGAAACAGCCAGAGTCAGTTCTTAAACAAGTACATAATTCATCACTGTGAACTAGAGGTAACCATGGACAGAGAGCATGTAGGTCATCTTAGATGTACTTAACCAAACTGGTAGGTCTCTGCTCCCCTCAGTCCATGGTGACTTGAACCGGCTGACTCAATAGATTGCTTTTCTCTCTGGTTGATCTGGCACCCAATGATCGTCTCACTTATGAGGACAAAGGAACTACACTGGAGCCCAACAAAGCTCCTGATGAAGACTTTCTAGGATTGATGACACAGGTTGCCTGCAATACTGTCTTTCAGCCACTGGAACTCACACACACGCTCCTGAAGAAGGATTCCTTGGATTGATGACACAGGTGGCCTGCAAGACTGTCCCTCGGCCACTGGAACTCACACACAAACTCCTGCCATGTTGATGTTCTGCCAACAATAGGTAGGGTTTTTGGTAGGATTGGTGATATGAATGGTATGGGTTGGTGATTGCTGGTTGGTGGACTGTGATTCGTCTGCCTGAATTCTAAGGAGATTTCATCCCAAGCTTAGGAATCCTTCAAGGATTAAACTGGTACTTTGAAAGCGTTACAGTTAATGAGCGAGTTACAAAGTCTTCCTACACCTCAGACGTTTGGCAAAAGAATCCCCGCCCAGACTAAGCTTGGCGTCTCTAGGAAAGAAGTTCCCGTATTCATGCCCAAGGAGTAAAAGGGCTTACAGGAATTTCTGAATTATACTCAAGAATTATTCATCCTACAGTACTTTGAAGGGGTATTTAGAGCTCGCTTTTCATGCAGAACAGTTTAAAAAGCCAACAGTGAATTCTCCATGACTACCAGCAGCATGACCATGGAACCGATGGCGATGAAACAAGCTTTTATATGGCTAGAATCACAGGACTATTTATTCCAGCGTGTGTGTGCTGAGTGAGTCTTTGAGCATGATCAGGCGGGTCGTGGCCAGCTGGTTACGAAGATAGCGGATTGAGCCACTGTGAAACTCTCCTGTGTGTGTGCAGTTATCATCAAAACCAACTCAACAAAGAACTCACTTCCTATCATGTGATATAATAATACAGTTGATTCTGATATATCAATATATAACGATATGCAGTAAATCTATCATACAACTAAAAAGATGCTTCCTTCTCATTTGCCACCATCCTCACACGTCGAACAGCACACACAAAGTAACTAATCCCCTTTCTTTGTTTGCCTTATTCTACATGTCTGTCGTGTCATCATCAGGAATGCCGGAACACAGCGCTGCTAGAGGATCATTTGCAAGATTTAAGAACTGGGATGGAACTTCCTGCGCTGGTCGACGTGTCAGGGAAATTTGTATTCTTACAACAGGTCAGTTAGCTAGTTTCCTAAAAGTCTGCAAGTTCTTCACAGAACGGCGCTGTCGTCATGGCCCGCCTGCAAGTCTCTCTTCCTCTAGTAAATTCCCCAATCATGTGTGCTTTCAAAACCAACGCATCTTTGATGTCCTTTATCCACTTCGCAGAGGTCGGCCTCTACCTCTTTTTTTTTCGAAAACAGCACCTTTCATCGCCGTTTTATCCAGACCATTATGACGTTTAGGATACTCAAAGTAAATTAGCTTTCGGAAGAGTACGCTGCTCATGAGCCGATTCTCTTCGTTGTTCCAATCCTAGTAGTATGTCGATCTTTTCTTCTTCCTGGTCCTTGGTATTCTAAGATGTTTTCTGTAGCATTTAAGTTCAAAAGCTCCCTTTATTTCTTCAACGTCTTGGTAAGAGTCCATAACCAACACCTATACAGTATCACGGAAATGATGCACCATCATAAATTAAGTACACTAACCTGCTCGCATATACTGTGCCCTAGATTCTTCATGCTGTATGTAACTTTTTCAATGTCAGACAGCTATTACTTTAATAATTTTTGTCTATGATTAGATGTTTACTGATTACTGATTTAAGAATAGACATCGCAGCACACCAGGCATTCCCATAGATGCTTCTTTTCCAGCAGCAAATGATGTAAGAAGTAGATGCTCACTGTTCCCGTAGCAGACTGATTATACACACGCTGATCTCTTCCTCTCATTCGTCTCTCCTTGCCGGACCCACACCTAATTCCTGGTTCACACATCCTTGCCCACGTTATTTCATACACTGGGATGTTATTATAAGAAATGCGGAGGGAAAACCAAGACAAGACAGGGTTATCAAAGAAGAACTAAGAATAATGGTACAAACATTACCAGTAATTGATTTCACGGATCCTCAATGAGCCTAATGTTTTGGTCATCTGTTCAGAATAGAACAAATTATGCCAGCAGCTTGAGCATACCTTACCTACTTGCTTGCTTGTTGCACCCCTCCAGGACATCACACAAGCGATAAACACCCGGTGTCACAAAGTGCCACCACGCGAATGAGGATCATACATTGAAAAGTCCGAGAAACCCCCTTCAGCCGTTATGGCCATAATTATGGTCTAGATTTATTCAGGGCAAACGACAAAAGCCAGGATAGGGTTTCTAATAACGAAAAATGGCATCCAACAAAGGGACGACGGTACTGAATAGCATACCTTATAAAAACAGGGGTCTACAAGTCAATAGACTGACCAAGAAAGACATGGATGAAGGGAGTGAAAGAGACATTAATGAAGGCAATATGACACTAAAACAAGCTTTGCAACTAGCAAAAGACAGGACACTAAATGCATTAAGTTTACAAACGACCTCAGGGACACTTTTGATCTGTGTTCTTTTAATGTATTTCACTGTGTGTCCATCGACTCTTCGGAGATCTTTTGTTGGTTTGATTCAGACTGATTTCCTTGAGCCATTGTGACATGGATTAGGTGTGGGGGGGGGGGAGGGGGGGTTGTAACTGTTTTCATGGTTAAAAAAATCATATTAAACTCTGGTCTGTACATACAGTAGCATAGATAACTCTGGTCTGTACATACAGTAGCGTGGGGAACTCTGGTCTGTTCATACAGTAGCAAGAGGAACTCTGATCTATACATACAGTAGCGTGGGGAACTCTGGTCTGTACATAGAGTAGCAGGGGGAACTCTGGTCTGTACATACAGTAGCAGGGGTAACTCTGGCCTGTAGATACAGTAACATGGTGAACTCTGGCCTGTACATACAGTAGCATGAGGAACTCTGGTCTGTGCATACAGTAGCATGGGGAAGGCTGGTCTGTACATACAGTAGCATGAGGAACTCTGGTCTGTGCATACAGTATCATCAGGAACTTTGATCTGTACATACAATTGCATGGGGAACACTCTTCTGTACATACAGTTGCATGGGGAACTCTGCTTGTACACACAGTAGCTTGGGAAACTCTGGTCTCTACACACACAGTAGCATGGGGAACGCTGGTCTGTACACACAGTAGCAGAGAGAACTCTAATCTGTACCTATAAGCATGGAGAACTCTGTTTTGTACATACAGAAGCATAGGGAACTTTGGCCTGTACTTACAGTAGCATAGAGAACTCTGGCCTGTACTTACAGTAACATGGGAAACTCTGGTCTGTACATACAGTAGCATGAGGAACTCTGGTCTGTACACACAGTAACATGGGGAACTCTGGTCTGTACATACAGTAGCGGGGGGAACTCTGATATGTACATACAGTAGCATGGGAAACTCAGGTTTCTGTTTACAGTAGCATGGGGAACTCTGGTCTGTACATACAATAGCATAGGAAACACTCGTCTGTACTTACAGTTGTATGGGGAACTCTGCTTGTACACACAGTAGCTTGGGGATCTCTGTTCTGTACGCACACAGTAGCATGGGGAACTCTGGTCTGTACACACAGTAGCATGGGGAACTCTGGTCTGTACACACAGTAGCATGGGGAATTCTGGCCTGTACATACAGTAACATGACGTAGTCTGGTCTGTACACACAGCAGCATGTGGAACTCTGGCGTCTACATAAAGTAGCATGGGGAACTCTGGTCCGTACATACAGTATCATTGGGTTATAAGCGATGGCGTCCCTACACTATATATTGGATTGTCTGTCTCTTTGTTTAAAACGGCGATTTCATGTGCGGGTGTCGGGGCCCTTTTGTAGGGAAAACAAGAAAAGACGCACTGCCTCCCTAACAAGCATGTCGTAAGAGTCGATTAAATGGGGCTTCCTTAAAATTCAGAGTGCATCTACTTGAGAGGCAAGGAATCAACAGTCTGCATACAAGATTGGTCGAACATGTGGAACGAATGTGCACACAACACTTAGGTTCTGGAACAAGACTAATATCCAGAGGTGGACAAACAACCAGAACTTTCCGCTGGAGTTTACAGCCGGTGAACATGAAGAACAAGACAAAAACGGAGATAATAGCTGTTTCATACATGCATCGTACGTCTTAAGCTTTATCATGGCACGTATATTCTCTATTATCATTCCAAAGTTTTGAATTCATCTCTTTTTCAGGAGATTTGCCATTGCTAGGAAATTCCCCTATGATGTTTGCCAACAAATTCTTTCTGGAAGAAGATAGAGTGGTCATCGGCTGCCTTGAGGAGAAAATCTTCAACGATACAAGGGATGAATACAAAGGCACTAAAGTCTTCAATATCACACCTTATGAAAATGCAGATTTCATTAGGAATAAAGTAGAGTAGTTAAAAAATTAATTACATTTTTTGCTTGCAGCCGTATTCTAATATCTTCACTGTAGTTCCCACACATACGGACCAGCTTGCTCAAGACATCTGACGGGAGAGACCAATCACTTATGGTTCATTCAGAGCGAAATAAAGTCTTAATCTGGAATCACCGATCGAAATTTTTATCTATAGTGACAACTGTTTCTGACAATTCTCGCGTTTTACAAATACATGTTTAAGACGTCACAATATACTCTCAAGTATATCATTTTCAAATATAATGAGAAATGTCAAAAATGACCGGACTTGTGACAGTTATGATCAGCTCAAAATTGGTGGTAATCCTATTCCAGAACTCAGCTACGCAGATGACACAGTCCTCCTTTCGAACAGCATGAAAGGAATAGACAATTTAATATTGTCTGTCCAAAAGCACAGTGAAGATCAAAATCTGTTCTTGAATTTGAAGAAAACGAAAAAAAAAAAAAAAATGTCCACAGATAAAACTGGCTGTCACCCAAAAATAACAATAAATGATGAAGAAATTGAAAATGTCGCAAACTTTGAATATCTAGGCTCTATAATAAACAACAATGGAGACTGTTCGACAGAAATTAAAAGGAGGATGGCCATAGCAATGCAAAGATTGAACAGCCTTAAAAGTCTATGGTTAAGCACCAGCAAGGAGATAAAAATTAGAATTTTGAGAGCATGCATCTTCCCTGTGGCTACATACGGATGTGAGTCGTGGACTATCTCTCAGTCCTTAAGAAAGAGAATAGGGGCTTTTGAGCTCAAATGCTATAGAAAGATTCTCAGAATATCTTGGACAAAGAAGAGGAGAAATATTGACATCTTAAAAGATCTGAACATCAAGGAAGATTGGCTAATAAACAGCATCCTTTCTCGAAAGCTGAAATATTTTGGTCATATCAAGCGCCACGACGGATTGGAAAAAATTATAGCAGAAGGCATGGTACCAGAAAGGAGGGGCAGAGGCCGACCGACACGAAGATGGGCACAGGATATAAGTGACTCCTTGAGTGTGAAAGTTAATGAGGCGGGAAAACTGACAAGAGACCGAGTTTCTTACAGGCAGACTGTGATGAGAGCGACGTTCTGCAAAGGACCTGCTCAATGATGATATCATTGTATGCTCACTCACTTTAGCATGTAAGTATGCTAAGTGTCAGCGGGTGTGTTAGTACAAACTGATATTCTTTGGACTGCGTGGTATTACAAGGCGATCTGGCCGACGCTCAGTTCTCAAGAAAAATGTGAGATGGATAGACAGTCAGACAGTTATTAGTGCCTTAGGAAATGGAACTTTTCGCCTGCTGCCGAAGATATGGACATATAGCTTATGGGAGTGTACTGAGTGCTGTAATGTCGATTCTTAAGTGAACACTAAACATTGATAATCATGAAACTGTTGACGAGGTGAATGTAGATGTTTTGGTCACTGGAGGTTTGTAAAACATGTGTTTCTTGAAAATCACAGGTAACTGTTGACACCACTCGTATTGGTATTGCGAGGGGAGTGAGAGTTCGCCCTGAAACAGACCGTTGGTAGAAGCGCAGTGGTAGTCTGATTCAGTGGCCCTCAGTCGATGAAATAGGAGGGTCCTTTGGACGTGTCATGTGGCAGGTGACATTGACTGTCAAGCTGAATTTGGTGTTTCAGAAGTGGGAATGCTGTAAGTGTAGATATTCTAGAATAGACGGTATAAAGTGTTGACCCGTGTATAGTGGGGTCGGCGCAATGCCTCTTTGTGTCACATTGGCTGACGAGGACACACGTATTCAGGTTCTACATCGTTTTAGTAGTAACTGGGTGTGCTAACGGGAAGAAGAAAAAATGAAAAACTATGAAGAAAGAAGATGAGAAAAGAATGGAAGAGGACAAATAGGTAATTTCCTGCAGAACAGCAAAAACAGGAAAGTAGACAAAACACAAGGGTTCTTCTGTGCAGGGGCCATGAAATATAGATCAAAACCTCAATAATGAGCTACACAAGATTAACAACAACCATTACTAAGTAGGCAATGCCTAGTCAGATCACGTGCACGAACTGCAAGTTATATCTTGAATTATATATATATTATATCCTGAATTAAATTCATCACACTAAACATCTGCTTTTTTTTCCTGAACACAAAACTAACGTTGCTTCAGAGATAACATTACATTAACAACCATCAACGTGCTCGACCAGACCATGTGCTACTCATTACAAGGAAATAGGATAATGTAACGAGTACGTTAAAAAAAAAATTACATCAGTGATGGCAAAAATCTAAACATATTAACATGTGAGTTTAAGCTCCAAAATACCACCAGATCAGTAAATCGGCTCCAGCAACCTGCAATAAAACTATCTATGAGCGAGGATACATAATAGAAATCTAGGTCTAGCACACGATGAAACTACTGAAGACAGATGCAAATCTAATTATGATAGAAATTTATGTCTAGCACCATGTAATTACTGAACTGCACTACCACCGTCATCAAGTCAACGAGCCAACAACCCATCCCTCGACTCAGCACCCTATGCCAAGGGTGACTGGATGGTCCAGTTGATGAGACGCTGAAAAAAGGTCCTCTCTCGCTAGACAAACCCTTTTGCAAACTTCTGGTCACCGGGTTGGCCAAATTTTCGTCCGCTTGCATCCTAATCAAATTTATTGGTCACCCTGCTACATGGAGGAGAAGAGAGGAAGGTGGTGAAGACTTGTGTCAGGTAGTAATAGGGAGGTATTCGGCGTATTTCAGTAAGTGTATAGGTAGTGGATTTTCTACACCATTGTTGCTACAGCTGCCTTCAGGCCCTCGGGTAGCGGGGGTCTCTTGAAAAGAGAGCTGTCAGAGAACGGCCACTGTGCATGACAAAAACTGTATGTGCGCAGTCGGGCTAAAATTGCATGTCGCATCTATCTCGACATAGAGGTCATTAGTGTATATTGTAGTTGGGTCAGTGTTCTGTTGTTAAGTTAGTTGCGTGTGCTTTACAGGCCGTTGCAAAACCAAAGACAGCATTTTTTTTTGGGGGGGGGGGCGGGGGGGGGGGAGGGGGCATATTTTACGTTTAGTAGTTCCCTATTGCTTTCCCAACGGTCAGCTCTTGGTACCACCAACGGAAGATGTTTTCATGTCAACATCGTCTGCAGCTGGGATCGAATCCGGCACCCCGGCATTTCCAGGCGCGTCAGCAACCCCTAAGCCACAGACGCCGACAAGTGAACTGAGCAGATAGTGGTAGGAAAGAAAGTGATTCATTGATCAACTCCTGTTCATTGCTGAAATCTGTTCGTCCATTATTATTGCCCTTTCAGAGAATACACGGTGTGATAAATTATAGTGTTCTTAATCATTTTTCCTGGATACGATGCAACTTTTCGCTTGTACCATGCTTGTTAAGGTGTTCCTTTTGTGGTTAGCCTCTCTATCCTGAAGAAACTCAACTGTCGTCTTCGTCTAATTGAGCATGGCGTATTTGCCTAAAGTGCAAAAGTATCTTAGATACTATACCATATATTTTTATTTTCTCTTTACACACTGTTTCGTATTTTCAAGTCAGGCGGGTTACCTCTATGAATTCGCATTCAGTTGCAGATTCTTTGTGGTTACCCTTTAGCCGCAGCTTCGCATACTTTGCTTTTCGGGCCAAGTTTCTCTTTCGTAGTTGTAAATCTAGTGACGTACATGCAAATTGCTTGGTGTGTTCTATGCGACACATACGATGATGATTAAATAGGGAGCCTGAAGTAATTCTGGATTATTATGTAAGACAAAACTATCGTTGCCAGCTTCGTTTATCCTCTTCGTTATGTCACTGTTCTTGGTCTGTTTGTGTATGTGATAGTGTATATGTATACATGTGCGTGTAAAAATGAGTATCTGTATGGGTATAATATCTGTCTGTCTGTCTGTCTGCCTGCCTGCCTGCCTGTCTGTCTGTCTGTCTGTCTGTCTGTCTGTCTGTCTGTCTGTCTGTCT